CAGGCGACAAGGCAATAATTCTTTGGTTTTCACATTTTGCCGGCGCCCGTTGTCGAAAATCTTTTTGCGGCTTATGTTACACCAGGACATCCAACCAGTCAGCCCACCACTCACATCCAAGCCACCCACCCATACACACACTCCCCAACACACACACACATACACTTGCATATATCCTCCGCCCCTTTTTGGGATGAAAGTGGGCGTGTCCACTGGGACGGACGACACATGTTACGGGTCAGTGGCGCCGCTGCTGCCGCTGCCGCCGGCTTCCACTTTTTGGTTTAGATTTTATTCATTTGCATATGCATGCTTATGATGAGATTTATTTATTTGATTTTGGTCCCCCCTTTTTTCTTTTCGCTTTTTTGCGGCTTTTCCCGTTTATGGCCGGGTTAAGTTGGCAGTTGGGATTTTTAAGCTAGGTGATATCGCTGTCCGTTGGGGAGAAAAAAAAAAAAAAAAGATTCGTTACTTTTTGTGAGTTGAAAATCTGGCGGTTTACCTAATGATCCAGAGGTATGAAACCACTTTAGGGTTTTTCCTGAAAAAATATACGAATATATGTTAACAAAGTGTTAAACAAAATGATGAACAGGCAATCCATCAAATCAATTTATGTTTAATTAAGGCAATCAAAACCAAACTACGTGCTCAGGGGGAATAAGTCACGCAATTCCTTTGTTATCATTCAATGGTCGGCGCGTTAAGCGATCAATCATTTAAAATAATAATTAATGTGCCTGAATACACGTCGAATTTATGTTGTTAATGTTGCAGGTTAAGTAAATAATTATGTAGTCAACTGTTATGAAAAAACTATAAAGCAACTTTCAAAATATCCACAATAAACTTGCGAATACTGATTATTGTTTCAGCTGTAAATAATCCAATTGACTCCCGGACTCCTTTAATATCCCATTGCAGGCCAATGCCATTTCCACTTGGAGTGTATTCCCACGAGCTCGATGAATTCGAAATGCAGCAATTAATCTCGGAAATAACTTTAGTACAGTTCCGCAGTTACGTCCAACTAGGTGGCAACGCCGCACGTCACCTGGCCAAACGGAAGCGGAAATGGCGAGGGCAACCCAACCTCAAACTGCACGCAACACACGCGCGATTAGCAGCAATTTGTACAGCAATTAAGCTCAAGTGCAATAAAAGTTATTCGAACCGAAGTGCAACGAGGTTAGTGTTGCTGGCAGTGTTGCAACAGCAACTTTATAGCAACAAATACAACAACAACAGCAGCAACGGCGATGACAAGCGTAAGTCGGGGAGCGGCAGGAGCCAAAAGTTATGCACTTTTTTAAGTGAATATGATTGCATTCTAATGTCAGGCCATAAATTAGCGACTCGGACTCCGGCGTGGCATGACCTCAGCTCAGCACGCGACCCACGCCGCTGACAGCTCCGCGATCCGCACCACACTCTTCCCTTTACTCAACCACCCACCCACCAGCGAGTAACCACTCGCACCACCCAATCGTCCTTTCAGCCAGGACCTCCGACCCCACTGCGCGTTACGTGACAGGAGTATGTGAAACTTTTCAACTTGAACGAAAATTTATATGCTGAAAAATATAGCGAGTGAAGCCAGTGCACATCGCCCAACAGCCACCGCAGAAAAAAAGGGCAAAAACAGAAAAAAAAATAGAGAAATGAGAAAAACCATAAAAGAGTTTGCCACACATAAAATACCCAGCACTGCGATTCTTTTATTTTACGATCCCCCATAAAACTATGGAATGGCTTCGTTTGATTTGAAATAGGTGCGATTCTACTGCAAAAAAACTATCAAAGAGATAGCAATCCCAAGTGAATTATAGTTGGAAAAGGATTGCAATATTAATATTTGTTTCTTTCAACCTAATTGTCACACAATCTTAATAAAGATTGGAAGTTGAGTTCTTAAGGGTATGGGCATTTATTTATTTTTTTGGAAACGTAATAAATATGTACGAATTCAAAGTAGGGTTCTTAGATCATGTTTTATTGTAAGTTTTATTTATTTAATATATTTGTCTACATTTTTATATTCTGATTAAAAAGTATCACAGTAATTAGTTTCTTTTTTTTTGTTTTGTAAAATGTAATTTTAATACCATACAAAATATTTCGGTAACGTGACATGTTTTATTTTTATAGATTACTTGTCTTAAGATCGCTTTTTTTTTGTGACAAAAGGAATTGCCAATAATTAAGTGTTTAAAGCTTTCTAAAAATTCTGATTGTATCTAAGCGAAATCCTGAGCTCAAATAGATTGTTTTAATGAACCCTATATGCTTTTGTACCAAATGAGGTACCAAATAAAAAAGAAAAGGGCAAAAAATGTGCGAAAAATTCGCCGAGCATGACTGGGCTGAAAAGGGCGGTGGGGGTGTTGGAGTTTCGGGTGGAGTGCAAGGAAGGAGGGGAAGGGGGTGGGGAAGGGGAAACCCGCGAGTGCGAGTGAGTGTGATGAAGTAAGAGGTTCGCAAGTGGGGAGGCGACATTTTGTGCGGTTTCGCGTGCCACTGGAAAGTTGAACGTGCTCGGCTAATGCTGAAGCTGCTAGCTCCATCTCCTCCATCTTTTTCGCCTTCTCCGGTTCCCTTTGCCCATCTGGCACTGCCAAGGCCAAAAGGGCTATAGGATGTGGCCGATGGACGGGGGGCGGGGGGCGTGGCACATCCACTCGCATGCCGCCGACGCTGAAGATGAAAAACTGCTGCGGATTACGTGGTGGTAAAAACTTTTTGACGCTTGATTTTCATGCTGATTGTAATCCCTGTGTACGAGAGCATTTTTCCAGCCTGATCATGAACCGAACTAAATATGTTGGTGGGCGTGGGCGGTGGGCGTGGCCATTAAAACGCCCGCTGTTGGCCAAGTTGGTCAAAAACCGGACCGGAATTAATGCCAGCATGTTGATATCGCCTGGCTTCGGAACCTTGGGGTTCCACGCACTCTGGCCATGCGAAACTAAATGTTGGCCAAAATGAAGTTTATAGCTTGTTGCAACAGTGTTGCCAACTGCGGATTATGCCGCCAAAAAACAGCTGAGTCGAGGATTACAAATTTCGGAAAACGCTAGATTATTTTAAGCGGCACGCCTGTTTTTTTTTTTTGGTACGTAAGTTTTTGAAACAATTTTACATTGGCTGTATTTCAGTAATTTTTCATAGCTTACAAAATATTAACAACATTTTAAAAGCTTTAAAGTAAATCGCAATTAAGTAAAAATGCAAAAAATGTATGAATAATCAATGACCAAAATGTAAGCTGAATGGGTAATCTTCATACAAAACTGGTTCAATTCTATCTTAGTCCACTTTTTTTTCACATATACATGTTTGATAGAAAGTTTATTTCTTTAAAGCTTGTTTCTTACCCTACAGAAAATATTTAAAATTTGTTGAAAGTGACGTTGAAATGATCTGATTTTTGAGCAGAAAATGTTAAAAAAAAGGGAATTTTCTTCAGTTAAATTTAGCTTATGTAAATTTTCCAGATTATAGCCAAGTTGGTTGTCTTGGGCCCCGAAAACAATGCGGATGTGGATAGTGGACTGCGGCTGCATCGGCTTTTTCCCAGGGTTTTCCGCAGCCGTTAACGAGCAGCTGGGGTTCAGTTGCTCAGTTTTTGCCGAAGGCGCTGATTTCCCCAACCATTTTCCATTCGAACCGAGTCCGAATTTCTTCTTTCGCCCCCGTCATGGCGATGCGTATTTAACATTTTTGATATGGGGCCCTTGGCCGCCGAAAAAAAAAAGGGAAGGCGAAACTAATTTATTTCCATTAGTCGACGACGTCGGCCACGTGAAATATTTCCGCTAATTGGCATTTGGCAGGCCACGCAGCCAGATCCTGGGTATCCTGGGTATCCTGGGATGCCCAAAATCCCCCCACTCCCCAAAACATTCTGTAATTAATCATTTTCTGATTTGGCATTGGAACCTGCACGGTGACTTCGGCATTTTTCCGGCCATTTGGCGTCGTCGTCGTCGGCCTCGCATTTTACGCGCCGTTAAAGTTTAATCGAAAAAGTATTTTTGTGGCCAATGAAAATTCCAATAACGAAATGCCAGCCACAACAACAAAACTTCTTCGTTGACTTTTTTATGCCCCCTCGGAGTTGGAGAAGTTTTTGTGCACCTGTAGCCATCGCATTTTGCTGTTGCTGTTGCTTTTGCTTTTGCTTTTTGGTTGATTAGTGGGCGTCTCCCGGATCCGGACATTGATGCAGTCGGAGTTGGAGTTGGGAATGGGAATGGAGCAGGAGTTGGATGGGGGAGAAATGCCTGCAGTTGACGGACCGGCGGACATTGTGTCCGAGGAACATCGTCAAATTGTCTGGCCGAACTTTCGCAATGTGTTGCGTTGTGGCCATTCGCAGGAAACAGGAAAACTTTTCCCTCTAATGCGCAATTAAGCAAAAATTCCCCGGCCAAAAGGTGGCATTTCCCGGAGGAAAGTGGGATGTGGGGGTGAGGGGTGAGGGGTTGCTACATTGTGGATCATCACCTGAAAAGGCATTTTCGCCAGGACCCTCGGTCAAAATGCTTAAAAATTTACAGCTGCGCTGATGAGATGGGATCAAAGTGTCATTGGAATTTAAATTGCATGGTCGATCACAGGGGGGCATGGCTAGGAAATTCTTTGAATTTCGAGTTGTTTAAAAAATGATGAATATTTTAAACACAAAAGAATTTAAAAGTAAAGTTTGTCTTCCTTTTTGTGCCTCCTTTCTTGTTCAATTTACAATTTTAATATAATAATTTTTTACAGAATTTATTGTTTTTTGTTACGAATGTTACCCTACTCATAAAAATTTTAAGAAATAAAAATCTGCAATAAAATTTAAATTGATTTATGCAAGCTAACAATTATTTTGTTTTAATAATTACTCCTTGCATACTAGAAATGCATACATTTACAATCAGGAAAAAGATAAACATGTCCCTTTATTATTACCCAAGCGTATTAAGTCATAAGTTTCCAGAGAACAAACAGAACTGTTTCACTTTCCCACTTAGTTTAGCAACTCCAAATCTCTAGCCATGAAAATTTTATCTGTTTAACGAAAAATAAAAAAAGGCAACACCATAACAGCACAGTTCAGAGGTTCAAGCCAGTGCTACAAAGCCACAAAATACACACTGAGCAATTCTAGCCGGGATAATCCCAACACACACACACTCACACACATTCCACACACACTCCACACTGCACACACCAAATGGACACCAAGTTGGCCGGTGAAATGCGTGCCAAAGGGGGCGGGGCTGGGGGCGTGGCCAGAGCCGCAGGGGCAAAGGGCGGGGCGGGGGTTGCGCAGAAGGCGGAACACTCGGAAAACTCGGGAAAGGAAAAGGAGTCGCCGAGGCAAACGGATCACAAACCTTCACCTGCAGATGGTCAACCGAAAGGAAAGCAGGAGAGCAGGCCCCAACCGAAACCCATTTCCATGGAACCTCCCAGGCTGGTGAGACGACGATCGAAATCGGGCTATATAGTCACAGCCACCGAGGACATACAGGCAATGTGAGTATCTTAACAGGTTTTCCATTATCAGAAATTGATAAGCAGTATATAATCATGTTTTTTTTTGAGATAGAACTGCAGCCAGCCAATTTTGTGTAAACAAAAATCCCTTATTTTGTTTCAACGACATTTCAGATTAGATTTAGATACATTACCTAATATTTATTTTTTAATTTTAACATTTCTACTTTTGTTTTGGATTTTAAAAATGCAAGCAATTTTATGATAATATTTTGGGTAAACCAAATTATAAATTTTTTATATGAAATAATTTATTTTAATATTTTGTATTTCAAAAAGAAGAAATTTTCTCAATTTATGATTTAAGCATTCAAAATTAGAGAAACACATTTTGTGCTTTCTAGGTTATTAAAAAGATTAACAAGCCTAAGAAAGCTAGGCCTATTAAAATATTACAAAATGTGGTTAATATTTCGAAAGCCTCAATAATGCATTCATGGAACCCTTAAGATTTAAGCTTCTTGCGGCCGTGAAAGTAATTACCGATTGCTTGCTATGTTTTCATTATATTACGAACAACTAATGAACAGAAGCTCCATTGCAACACATTAATTAGGTCATTATTCGAACCAAGAGCCGAACTTTGGCTGCGAAAATAATACCTTATTTGAAGGTCCTTTGGCTTAATTGGAAAGCGAATCCCTTTGCACGCTAAACCCAACTAACCGATAATTAATACGCACTCCCTGCCCCGTTTCGATTTGGATTTCGATTGCAGGCAGACGGCGGCCATCCTGGCGGAGTTCGACCGGATGCTCCTGGAGGCCGAGGGGCATTTGAAGGAGGTGGTGGAGCAGCCGTGTGCGGATGTGGCGGCCCGCCTGCAGAGTTGCCTCCAGGCGCACCGCAACCGGTCGTGCAACTGCTTCCCGGCGATGGAGGCGTACCGCAACTGTGTGCTGCGTGCCACCCAGAATCACGTGGACGACTTGGCCGAACGGGAACCACCGATGATGCCGGTGGTGCCGCCGCAATCGATTCCCCCACCCGCTGCACCACCGAACAAGCAGCACTCGAATCGCCGGTGGTGGAAATTCTGGACTTGGTTTCGATAGTTCTTCTCGGTTTTCTTAAAAACAAAAACAAACCCCAAAAAGAATTTCACAGCCCAACCGGAATAAAGAAATGGCCTTATTAATTAAAAGCAAAGGACTTGAAGGCATTTCATTTGTTTACCCGGGTGCAAATGCATTTTCAGACGGCAGGATGTTTGTTTTAACCACAGTGAGTGCTCGAAAAACCGAAATTGCGAGCTCTGGAAATTTACTTTTATTTATTTTAAAATTATTTCTGACAGGTTTCATTAAAAGGTAACCTAAAGGGAAAAAAGGTGGTGTGCGTTGTGAAACTATTAAAGTGAAAGTTAACAAAGAAAATATTTAAACAAGAGTTTTTAAATAACCAGGTTTGAAAATGAATTCTTTCATTTCTCAATTTGTGCTTGAATAATACCATTTTTTTTTTGCCTTATTTACACGATGAGTATACAATGCATTAAATTATAATATTGAATATTTTAAAAGTCATTGTTAGAAATTGAAGGCGCCATAGGCAAAAAAATGTTTTTCACTTTTTTTGTAACCCAATTAAATTATCAAATTTCCAACGAGAATATTTTGCATTTCGCTGCGAGCGATTGTATAATATATTTCTCTTATTTTTACCGCTTTTGTGTACCCGTAATTCCCATGCATCCATACAAAGTAAACCTTGTTATGTGCGGTGAACAATCAGCTGCGTAATCAGTTTCAAAAACGCCGGTTACATTGAAATTGAAGCCCAGTCGGGAAAATGCAGGATTCACCGCAGTGGCATTGCCTTCAATTTGTGCCAACTCAGTGGCTGCTTTATGTCCGTCATAGCGGGCTGTCACTGTGTCGGACAGGCGGAGGTGCGCTTATGAAATGCAGAAAAGCCAACCCGACGACTCCAATTGCACATTAGCCCCGAAGCTCCGGGAATATGGCTCCGAATTTCCCGGACGATCCCGGTTGCTCCCTCTGTCTATCTGTCTATTCATTCATTTAAATGTCTATATCATGTGGCCTGAGGAGAGGTTTGAGGTTCAAAGAGGGGAAAAGGGGGGAAAAGCAGGGAAGGGGGGGAAAAACAGGGTTACGAGGCAGTCGAGAATGCAGAATTGCAATTTGCAATAAAAGTAAATCTGCTGTGGCGCCGAGCTCCGGTTCCAGCTGGCTAGCTTCTTACATTGTTATCCCTGGGAAAAATACCCCCCTTTTTCCCCCCTTTTCCCCCTATTCCCCCCCTCATTTTCCCACTCCTCCCCCCTTCAATCCAAATACCACCTGCCGCCATATGTGCTCGTCTGTGTGCGGTTTCAGGTTGAAAGGCTTTCGGGCAAGGTAAGCAAACATTAGAATTTATTAAATCCAGCTCATGCAGAGCAGCCCCGCCCACTTTTTCTTCGCCGCCTCCGCCTTCGCTTGGGCGCAGGAAAAAAAGAAAATAAAATAAGAAGAAAAGCTGGGGAGGAGAAAAATTATAGCATATAGAACTCACCTTGCCACGGCTTCAGCAGCACATTCAACTTTTGGGCCGGGCCAACACACACACACACACCCCCAAGCACACTCTCTCACACACATACACACACTTCAGCGGACACCATATTCGCCAGTATTATCTCCATACACACACGTACATATTTGCCTTACATAATCCAACTTTGCTTTTGGCATTTGGAAAAACAAACAAAATGCCAGCCCCGAAAAGGAGTTGAGCCCATCTACACTGACCGAAAGCTGACAACTGAGCGATCTGCGGACTATAATACTATATGGATTATATCTCAGCCAGAATTGATCAAAAACTAGATACTTGAATCGAGGCTCTTTTGGTCAAAACAAATCATTAGATTGCTATACTAAGCAGATAAATATTTATTGATCAACTTCATGTGCTTTTTCTGTATAACTCAGTGGCTTCCCGTATTTAATATTAAAACTAAGGATAATTATTTTAGATCATAATTTAATGTTCCCCAGAAATCGTAGAAACTGTAGTAAGATCAGCTTTAATATCCAAATATATAATGCATTATTACTCATGGGTTGCAATAAAAGAAACTCAGCCGAAATGCTTTCAAAAAGAGTTTAATATTTTATTGTAAACGCTTGCACATACAATCCTGTCGAGTAAATTATAATATTTTTTGCGGAAACGTCAGATTATTTGTTTGAGCAGGAAACGAAAAGAAACCAAAAGTGCAAAAGAAATGCAAACTGTCGTATTTGAGTTATTCGTGGGATTTGCCGGGTAAGTTGTTACTTCCCCAGGAAGCAGGCGATTTATTATCGCAACTTAATCTCACAAAAACACGTCAAACCTGAAAATCCTGCAGCTTGGCAGCGTATTTCCACCCCTCCACCTACCACCTACCACCACCACCCACCCCTTTTTGCCAACGCCTCTGCCGGATTTTCCGCCTTACGTCCATAAAAAGTGCGAGGGGATCGGGTTTTGTAGCATCCTTTTGGTCGCTAGCCGTTGGCTTCATAAAAAACCAACTACATGGAGTGCGCATAGCAACAAAAACATGCAGCCAAATCACAGTGTACAGCGCACTTCGTTCCCCTCTTCACCCCCCTTTACCTTGTTTTTTTATTCGGTTGTACCCCCCTTGGAAGCCCCACCCCTGGCAATTTCCATTTGGTTGCCCTTCTGCGAGAGCCGAGCACGGCAAAAAAATCGAATGATATCAAAGGAGCGGCATTTAATATATTGTCGTTATGTAAATCGGTGTGATGTCATTGACTTGTACAACAAATAAGGGGTTGCATTGATTTAAATGTCTATACTTTTCATAACAATACATTTTTATGTGGCTTTAATGGTGTCTATCTTGGGAGTTCACATATAATATAATTATAATCAAGCTAATTATTAAAGCAAATAATATATAGTTAATACAAATGAAAAGGTGCTATTTAAAAACCTTTACTTTGATTTTCATATTTCTCATATATTTAGTATAAAATTTAATTTAAACAGCTAAACAATATATACTCAACCCAAAAATATTCCAAAGACTTTTTTAAGAAATTTTTAAGTTCGGAAGAGATTTCTGCTTAGAAATTTCTCCCCCTGCAATTCGTTTAGCCGTGTGTTTTCCGTTTGCCCTTTTTTTTGGCAACAGTTTTGCCCACTGGTTTTTTTCTATTTTCCTCGTTGTGCCATAAAGATTATTATGAAAGTATTTTGCTAAGCTTTCCGAGTTGAGATGAGATGTGTCGGCTGGTTGGGTTGCTCTCCGCATTATTTTTTTTTTGCGAGTTAGGGCTGAGGATTCAGGATTCCGTATTCAGTATTCAGGATCCAGGATACTGGGCTCTGAATCTCTCCGCTGTGCTCTCTGTTGCTCTCGCTATCTGGCCGAGCATCCGTCTCTGTCATGCCATTTGGCTGGCACTCCCGGGCCTTAAGTGTGCATGCATTATGCCATGTGCAGGACCTTCCCCCTCCCTCCGCGTATAATATGCATGCATGGATAATTTATCAGGACACACAGCACAGCTTTAAATTTGATTTAAGCCCCTGCTTCGCCAATTGCCATGTTCACTCTACGCTGTTCGCTGTTTTCTGTTGACTGTCCAAATCCATGTCCGAATCCGAATCCGAAACCGAGTCCAAATCGGAATCCAAATCGGAATGGGAATCCATGTCCATGTCGGTTTAGTTGTGCTGAACAACTGACAGCAGCTCAAATGCAATTAAATGGCCTGACCACAGAGCAAATCAAGCAAAAATCCCAACCAAACTTTTCACCGAAAACTTTCAAATGTTTCGAACGTCAAATGTGTTCAGCTTCGATTGGAGGGACAATTGCTGAAAGCCTTTCAGCAGACTTGTTTGTTTGTAATTTACCTTAAATTAAAATTTAATTCTACAGAGAGTAAATAATTGAGGAATATATGATGCCTTTCATAAAGTCATGGCATCAACAATAAGTATGCAAATTGTATGGAACTTTATTTACAAACCTTTTCATTAAACTGGCCTTAATTCAATATCATTTAAATTATTACCTTATTTTCCGCAAAAAAAAAAAGAAAGAAAAAACTGCCATGCAAATTGTGTTTGCTGCGCCACTCTATTTGTTAAACAAAAGCAAAAATAAAAAAAATTGTGGCAAGAGGTGAGTTGTAATCAGCTGAGGTAAAAGATGGATAAATAGTGAAGAGCTGGGCCATGAATCATATGGGTCGCTAAGGCGATAAAACCCCCCAAAAACCCTCATCATTCCCCCAACCTGGGAAGTACCCTCCCCTTTCCCTATTTTTTGCTTTCAGCGAGCTTAATCCGCTGTCACGGGAGGAAAAATGAGAGGAATACCATGTAGTCGAGTGTAACAGCCTGGCTTTAGTGCTTCTGCTACCGAACTTACAGCATTTTTGATATGCTTGTAGTTTCGTTGTTTTTCGGTATCTTGTATCTTGTATCTTGTATCTGCTATCTGGTAACTGGTAACTGGTAACTGGTTACCAGTAACTCGAATATGGAAATGGAAGTGGATGTGAGTGCGGGATGAAGCCGTCTTGGCTTGGGCATATGGAAATCGGATGGAGCATTTCGGGGCAAAGTTGTTTGTTTTTATGTTGTCTTCAGCAGCGTTGCATAAGTGCATTTGTCTGTTATCCCGACGAAGACGACGGCGACGACGACGACGGGCTTTTTGTTTCGACTCGTCCTGCACATTTGCCCAAAACCCTTTTTAGACATTTCCCCTTCCTCCCTCCCCCTTTTCCCCCTTTCCCCTCACTTTTCCCCCGCCTCCTTCACATCCTTTTCCATTTCCTCACACTAGTCCAGGCACTTGTTTTCAACGGAATCAATTTAGCGTAAGAAGTTTCAGCTCAGAGCTCCAAGTTGTTGTCATGTGCAGGCCAGGATCAAGGGGGTTGGTGGCGGGGGGGTTTTCAGGGGTCAGAGGTTCTCAGGAGTGAAGGGGGGTTGTGGAAGAAGAAGAAGAAGAAGAAGGGGGTGTTGTGGTGTGTGTGTGTGGTGCAATTATGCCAACGACAGCTGCCTGGCAGCCTCGTCGTCGCTCTATTAATCAAAAGTTATACAAAAAGCCAGCGAACTTCGCCACACGACCTGGCCCGCTTTTCCCCTTCCCCTCCCCCTCCCCCCGCTCCCTGGTTTTCCCGCCTGGCTTTTCCCGCCCGGCTAAGAGAGAAACCCATCTCCCTATTCCCAGCTCGATTCTGGCAGCTCCTTGCTCCTTTCTCCTTGCTCCTTGCTGCTGGCGCCGGCTTTCTCCACTTTCTCATCCTGTTCTCCTTGTTGTTTGCAATTTAACTTTGCTGTGAGCGAAGGCTCTTCATGAGTTGCCCAAGCTTATGTGCGCAAACACATAGATACACTCGACAAAATTCCTGGGATGTAATTAAATTGTAATTATCATAAAAAACTAATTTTAGGTAATTTGTATAGCTTTTGGCAATCCTAATAAATTTTTATGTGGTAAACATGTCAATCCTATTGACTTTAAAAGTGATGCACTATTTTTAATACACCCCTTATAATTTAACAAAAATTATTTATAAATAATTCAGTTAAAATACAAATCATTTTTTTATGACCAACTTCTTTTTTAAAGAAATGAATGCATTGAAAACTAATGCCAATAATTAATCATTGCCAACTGTGGTTTTGTGTAAACACATGTTTATGATGTAAAAGGTTGTATTTTTTTGTTATAGTTAAAACATTATAAAACATAAATTTATAAACACCTTTTTTGGCACACAGAAAACAAAGAAACGTTTAAGTTAAAACAACAAATTAAAACATTTTTAAAAACCAAATTTTGTGTTGTGTTGTTGGCGTTAAACAATTTTTTGAAAATCCTTTTCCGCCTCAAAAGTGGGATTGTAGAGCTATATGTTCTGAGTGTGGTTTAGTTTTACACCTCGTTGTTTTTTTTTTGAGTGCAGGATATCAGAGTGTCTGTGCGGCTTGGTGAGTAAAAACAAGATATAATATTTTATGAAAGCTTTGGCAACCACGGCACCTCGAACCCCGCAACTCGCCCCTCGGAATGAACTGGGACTCATTGGCCATAAATAAATAAAGCAGCCAAACACAATCAAAAACCAATGAAGCAGACCAGCAGCCACAAATGACAGAAGGAGCAGCGAGCTTCTCATCCTGGCAAAGGAGACCGGCCATCATCGTCGTCGTGTCCGCTTTTTGTCCTTGTCCTTGCTCCTTGCTCCTTGTTCCTTGGTCCTTAGCCCTTAGTCCTTTGGTCCTCGTCCATCCCGAGTAGTTGGCCATGATTTAATGCCCTAATCTTTTTCCTCTTTTTTTTCCTGTTTGCTATTCACCTCAGATCTGCTCTCAAATTGTTAGAATTAATCGCTTCTACAGATTTTAACCATGTACCAGGTGCTCGGGATCAACGATCTGCTTTGCTACTTTTCACGCTCTTATTTGGATGTCTCGATCAGGAACTGCGAACTCTATTCAATTTGGAGAGCCCCATTATGTGAGGAGGTCACCATGGCAGAGGATTTCGTAATGAACTCCCTTCTCAATTGCGAGGAGATGTTCCCCTTCGTGTTTTATTACGTGCTCGCCATTAGTGCCATTGGTACGGTAAGTTGGTTGATCGATACTCGTATACCTGTCCAAGTATATATACGCTTATGGTAAGTAATTTCTCTCTTACTTTTTTTGCAGTTCCATTATATAATCGAGTTTCTGGAAATCATCCTCGAAAGTCAGGGAAAATACCTACTACGATTTTATAAGCCAAGGGACATCACTGTTTTCAGCGACAGACAGTTGCGGCGTTTTCGACTCGTCGGTAACTTTTTCATGATCAACGCCTGGTTGCTACTTTTATACGCCGTGGTTTTTGTGAGTATTTAAACTCTTAATAATATTTTGTTTAACTCAAAAAAGGGAATATTAGTGTGCCTTTTTATTTATTATTTCTTTAATATTTACGTTGTAAAAGTAAACAATTACCTAAGCAGTATAAAGAAATATATTTATATATTTTTAAATATATTTAAAAAAATGTATTTATGGTTGGTGGTTTCTAGTTAAAGTAATATTATTTTTGCTTAATTAAAAAAAAAATGTGTAATTAATAACCAAGACAAAAAAAAAGTATTTCACAAATTTTTTTAAAATAATAATAGTCACTCCAAAACTAAAATGTTTTTCCCGCTCAGATGAAGCCGCAGTTCATTTTGCCCTGGAGGATGATGTCAACGACCTCGGTGCTAATCGATGGGTTCTTCCTGCTGCTGGATGTCCTGATAAAACGCAGGATGTGCAGCCTGAGCTCCCTCGTATTCTTCCTGTTCCCCTTTTTCAACATGAGCTGTGTTCTCTGTGTGAAGTCCTCCTTCAAGCGGATCGAAGACCAGAGCAATCTGGAGAATCTCACGTGGTGGTAGTGATGATGACAAAATTCCTATCTGTGATTCCCCAAATTCTCTGTGATTTTTAGTCTTGTAACGAGTTAAATACATATATTATGTGAGTGTGTTTGCTCTTTGCTCCGTGGGGGAATTTCAAAGACTCCTTTTGGCAAAGTTTTCTGTTTAATTTAATTTGCTGCAGCACTCTAACTCGATTTCGCGCGTTTATCGTTAGGCGACAACTTTTTAATTGCCACACTCCCACGATGTGTTCCATTATGTTGGCGAGTGTAAATGGTTAACAGAGTGAAAAGGGTCTAAAACGGGGGAAAGTTACCAGACAAAAAGTCTTGCTAAATATACCACAAGTTAAGTGTTTGATGTAAACAATTTGTTAACTTGCGGAGCGGAAATAAAAATAAGATTTCAGTGAATAGTTAAGTGAATAATATATAGAAAATTGCAGAATACATAAAAAGTTATTTAAAGTACTTTTCTTTATATATATTTTATATAGCGAATGTAAAACAGCTTTTACTCAACGAACAAGACAGTTTACCTTCGTTCTCTCAAAAGAAAACCGCCATTAAGTTGAGTCCTTAACATATTTCTAATTTCCTAGGTGAAATCAAGATTAAGAAGATTATTTGCTTGGGGCAACTGCCAAAGTCTCGGACATTTGAAAAGCTGTCTATGGCGATGGAATCTGCTTTAATTTCGTTGCTTCGTGATGTGCTTTTCATTTGCCCTAAACGTTTGCGCCATTTGACTTAATGAAGCTTAAAGACAATAAAACGCTTAAGCACACAACTTAGCCGCACCCCCACCTCCCTGCCCCTCCTTACACACACACACACACATAGACACACGCACACACAGAGGCACACACACCAGCACAACATTGTGTCAACGTCAAACGTCTTTTTCTTGCAACTTTCTGCGCTCGCGTCATAATTTCTATGAATTTTATACACTTTGATAAGCATTCCATTGGCATGCGAGGCACGTTCGAGTTGCCCCGACCCCAAGAAAACACCAGTGCCCCTCCTCCCCCCCTTACCACCCCGCCCCTCCCCCTGAAGCATTACCCCCCTTCCCCCTCCCTTTCCAGCTGTTTGTTTTGCGAACTTTTGTCGCCGTCCATGTAAATCAGGCCAAGCGACAATTAAACGCGCCAAGCACGACAATACTTAGGGCTAATGGCCACGGACCTGAACCTCGGACAATCAACGGAAAAGTGGGCGGAGGGGGCGGTGACCATAGGAAAAAATCCCCTAAGTATCAGGATTTAATAGGTCAACAAATTGTTGGATTTTTAAAACGTTCAAATAAAAGTTTAGTGCATTGCGTAAGGATTTTATGTTTATTTTACTAATAAACATTAAAATTTTTTTAAATAAAATGATCAAGAGTATATAGCATGATTACATAAATATTTGTATTTTGAAATATTCGAATACCTTTTGCTAATTTATAATTAGTTACGTTGTTGCTTTGAGTTTCCGTTTCTGGAGAGGTTTGTTAATTTCAACACAAAGGGTCAAAACACCTACAACATCAGTTTTTCTTGCAGTGCAGGCCAAGCCTTTGGCGCTTCCGCTCCCATTTCCGCTTGTTGGCCGAAAAGTGTAAACAATTAAATTTTAATTAGAATTCGCATCGCTTGACATGCGACATGGAAATGGACGAAGGCAGGAAAATGTCAGTTGCCAGTTGGCCGGAAAAGTGGGGAGCAGAGGGGAAAGGGGCAGGGATTGGGTGGCAAGACTGGGCCACCCACTTAACCCACTCACCCACACAGTGAAACCGCACTTCCGATCTCCGCCACCGACACACAGACATTTCATTTCCGTTCTCGTCTGCCTGTTAATTTATTGGTCGCCTCCAGACCCCCGAAAATCCCTTGGAAAAGCCATCTCTGAACACCGAGTACCGAATTTTCCATCCAGCACCTTTTTGCCGACCGCCTGCTGTGGCTGAGGTGCTCGAAAAGTGCTTGTAAATTAAACGGCTGACAGTTAATAGAAAACCGAAAGCCTCTCATTTGGCACATTTGCGGCCTGCGCTTTTATACACTTGCCCACTTTCGGTGCGATTTGATGGATTGCCGGCTTAGTTTTAGCCAGTTAACTGCCGCACTCGACAATTTATGCTCCCAATTCCGGAAGGTGTCGAGGCTCGTAAAATACGACGTGGCAAATCGGAGCGCGCCGCGTTGCGGGGCAACTCAAATTTTAATGCCCAAATTGTGGCTAATGAAAATGTCTAAAAGTGCTCGGATGATTTGTTGATTTCCTTCGACGGCCTAACAAGGCCATAAAGATTACGGGTCAACAATGAGCAAATAATACATGTGGCAAATAATCGAAATACAAAGCGAGCAAACGCAATACATTATTTGTTGGCCCTGAGGTTGAGCCATGAAATTAGGGTGGATTTAATTCTCAATTTTCACAAGCTTTCAATAAAAAAAAGAACAAATCTGAAATCGTTATAAAAATGCCAAAAACATTTTCTTTCGACGGAAAGGGTTATTCTTTCGATTTTCTTGGCGTTTAAAAATGCTGCATACCAAGTTTCCCCATTATTAAAAAAAAATTTCAACTACTTTAAAACATTTTCTAAGGGCTTACAATTTTTATAACAAATAAGTGGACTATTTGGACTGCATAAAATCTTAGATTTATCTAATAAATAAAACAAAGCGTACCTCAAATATATTTCTATATATCTTGTCCTGTTTGAGTGCAGTTTGCTTCACCTTACCTTCAACTGCTGACAGTTGCTGGCAATTTCATTGTTGGTAAGCAGCTTCCTCAAACTTTGTGTTGGCTGCGATTTTGGATCGGATCCGCTGAGTTCCGGCACTCGACCGAGTAAACCCGGGAGACGCCGCGATGCCAGCTAATTTTTCACTGCCCGCGGATCCGGATGACAGTGCAAATCGCAGCGGCGGGTTAATCCAAACTGTCGCCGGAGTTGGCAGGATGACGGGTTCCCAGTGCGAAGTCCGGAGTTCGGAGTCCGGACTTTGGAGTTGACCCAGTTTCTGCCGAAGTTATGGCGCCGACCGGAATTTGCAGCACATTTCCTGTTTTCCCTGCGGCCAATTGAAGGAAAAGAGGGCGGAAAAGGGGGGGGGGGATTTAAAGCCGTGGCCCAAATCCCTAAACACGAAAACCTCCTCGGGAAAACTCATCGATGTTTATGGGATGCCACTAAATTTCGATAACAATAAAATATGATTTTTGCCTGGCGGGGAAATCAAGGAGCGGGGTGTGCATATACTCGCATATAAAAAGAAAACACGAAAAGAAATTAAGGAACTGGCCGGAACCCGGAAAAAGGACACCAAGTCACTGGTGAATCAGGATGGCGTAAAAACAAACAACAACAAATATATCTGTATAAAGGAAAAATAAACTCATATTGGGGTTTCCTTAGCACCGAATTCCAAATGCTCTAAAAGTGGAATTGCGTTCGGTGGTTAAAGTGGAACATTAGAATTTTTCCCAGAGGAATTTCCACTTGGATGTCGAAGTGAAGATACCCATTCCGATCGAGAGCGAGCAGATCCAACAAAGCGAAGAGTAAATATTACAAAAATGTATTACAGAAGGCTTTCGGATAGGCGCGGGTGTGCCGGAAAATGGGGAAAAAAGGAAAAATGGCAGACGTGACAAAAATGCTTAAGTGAAAAGTTACGAGCGAGCGGCGGAAATCGCTTTTCCCCCAGCGTCTTCTGTTTCCCTTCTTCTTTACTTTATTTTGCTTGTTTTCCCAGTCCGCCCCAAAAAAAGTTGTGTCGCGCATTTCGCTTTTCTTCCTTCAGTTTTCTTTTTATTTCGGCAGCGTTACGTTTTTGTTTTGCTCTCGCAGCTGCTTAATATTTTCTTGTTTACGCTTTATTCGGCGAGCGGGTGTACTAAACACTGAGAGAAAATTTGATTTAAGTGTATTACATTTTAAGCTTTATTTTATATTCAGGTCCCTTGAAAGTATCGCATAGAATTAAACCACATAAAATGAAAGGAAATAAAATAGCTTTGAATTTTAAAATTTCTATATTAATTTTAATTTAACAATTATTATTATTTTTTTGAGGTATATCATTATTTGTTGATTTAATAAACAAAAGGGCCTTAAATCTATTACGTGTTAATTATTATTTGATGCAAATAAACATTACAGAAGAGGTAACTTTTACTCAATATAAATACATTTTTCTCCATCTGTTTTTAGGGTTTTTTGGTGCTGTGGGGCACCAGTGGTGCTGCTGGTGGCTCCCCGCTGTTCTGCTGCCCGGGTGGTGCGGGTGGTGGTGCGGATGGTGCGGATGGTGCTGCTACTGCTGCTGCTGCTGCTGGCCTGCTCCCTGGCTGCTGTCAAACTTTTCACGCACGCCCGCTGACGGCGAGCGATTTCCCGGGTTGCACGGGTTGAAGACGCGCTCCAAATCGATTTCCGCTTCATTACGCCACCGCTTATGCGGCGCCCCCGAGCGGCAAGTCAGCAGTTGAGGGGTTGCGAGGGGTTGAAAGGGGGTTGAGAGGGGTTGAGAGGGGTTGAGCGGAAAGTGGCGGCCCTGGGAGCACTCCAAATCGTATCAATCATCTTTCAGAAACACTTTGCACACCCACGCAAACGCCAACTCACAAGACAGCGAATAAGATGTGTGTGCTCCTTGGCCTTTTTTTTGCTGCTTCCCCTTCTCCTCCTCTTTCCTTTTCCCCCCTCCCCCCAAAAATATTCGAACTCATATGTCAGAGACAAGACCCGCAAATTGTTTGTTTGCTTTTGCATGCCATACAGCCATACAGCCATCCATCCATCCATCCATCCAACCATCCAACCATCCAGTCGAAGCTCCCACCGCCTGTTATTTCAGGCCTGAAACGCTTTCATGTCATTTTTCAAGTTTACACAAAATATTTCAAGTGTTTGATGTCTTTTGCACCCGAAGCGCATCAATTTCCTAGCAAGAGCAAGCCGCTCCTTTGCTCCTTTGGCCACATAATTCACTGGGTTCCGGCACTCGAGATCCCCGGATTCAGATACAGATACAGATACGGATAAGGGATACTGATTCAGAACTAATGCCTTCTTTTTTTCCTCTGTTGCTGTTCT